GAGCTTCTCTTCATTGTTCAGGGAAGGATTGGGAGGTCCAGATGCCATTATAAATTTTTAAGAGGTATTCAATGGCATACTTAGGAAGATTCTTCAAGAAAATATTAGGAATATTATCAGGACCTGGTGCATAGTTTTTACTATTTTTTAAAACATGAAGGAGCTCATCCATTAGGAATTCACAGTTAAATTAATCATTGTTGTTACTTAGGAGGTTTTGGATGCTTTTTTGAGTGGCTAGGGATATAGACGGAATTAATTTACGAAAGGATGGATCATAGTTATTATTGCTGGAATTGTTGACGAATGAATCTACGAGAGCATTGCAGATGTCTTGAGAACCCCTGTATTTTATTCCGTTTTCATCTTCTAATATTGAAGGTAAGCTAGTTAAATAAGAGGCACTAATTGAATTTATTTTATATCACATAGTTGCGGTCGGTGTTTGGCCCGTAATAGATGTAAAATCTTTAAAATATTGTAGCATTGTATGTTTAAGAGTTAAGCGGGCTTTAGCTCTAGCTTTCTTATATAATATGCCCAATTCTATCGATTTATATTTCTTGTATTTTCTAAACGCTTTCTTCTTTTCTTTGATGGCTGACGTGCAATTTTCATTCCACCATGGGACTTGACGGTTCCGGATAATACCCGAAGATTTAGGGACTGCTGGGTGAGCAGCTGAATCAATTAAGTCTGTAAAGGCTAGGATGATTTGGTTAGTCCGATCTGGTGCCCACTCATTTATATCGAGAAGTTTGTTGATGTTATTATCGACATATGATTGAAATAAGGTCCAGTTAGCTTTGGTACTAATCCACTTCTGATGAGTGCGGGTAATAGAGTATGGTTGAAAATCAGAAAGGTGAATAAACAATGGGTAATGATCGCTGTCATAAAGATCATTACTAGAAAACCAAGAAATACGAGTTCCAATGTCGTTGGAACTGTCAAATCAATCACACTACCTTTTGCATATCTAGTAGAAAAATAGATATCATTGCCCGTATTATGAAGTATAATATCATTATTCTTGTCAAGCCATTCCTCAATAATTCTGCCCCTTCGATCTTTACTAGAAGATCCCCACAGTACATTGTGGCTATTAAAATATCCCGTGATGATAAATGGTTTTGGGAGTTGCTGCAATATCATCACTGTACTTGATATTGTTTATATCCTGGCTATTAAGTAAATATAAGTTACAAATTGTGACAGTGAAGTTAATTTTAATTCTAATTGCAGTTGCTTCCAGTTGCGTTTGAAGAGGAACATTCTGTAAGAAAAATGTTGGTTTAGTATAAATTGCAATGCCACCACTGGCAATATTGGAATTATTTCTATTACAAAATGTTTGTATCCAAAAAATTAGCCCTAAGTTTGAAATTTAAAGTTTGTTTCTTGGAAGCGAATTATTTTTGGTTTGAATTTGTTAATGAGAAGCTTTATGAATGGTTTTCCTGCAAAAAACATTACAATTCCATTGAATAATGTCCATTGTAAATAGCTGAGTTTGTTTATTTTATAATAACTTGAATAGAATAACTAGAATGACAATAATGGAGGAGGTTATATCACTGCTCTTCTAAATCTTCTCTAGCATAAGGTTTTTCAGTCATATCTATATTAAGTTTTTTGATGATTCTTGAGCAACTATTTTTCACACCCCGATTCGGTAAGTATTGGTGAACAGCTCTTAACATTGCTGTTAAAGCAGTAAAATTATCTGTGAATTCTCTGGCAATTGCTGTAGTACAGTTCTGTCAAAGAAACTTTGGAGTTGATGTATATTTAGTGGGTAGTGAGCAGTAGGAGAATCTAAGATTGTTTTAATATTAGACCATGACTGATCGTCAACATTTTCAAAAGAGGTTTTAGCTTTTTTCTTATTTTTGGAAGGTTGTTTCTTTATTTTTTCTTTAGTTTCAGAAGTTTTCTCTTCCATGTCAGAGGTTTCCGAATTATTGTCTGGGAGTTCATTCTTGCTATCTGATTTGTTGCTAACCATTTGTTTTCGAGCTTACAGTAGATAACGGACTCTTCAACCTTCCAGGGTTGCAGGCAAGGTCAATTTCCATTGAGTTTCCGTTCGAGGCAACAGTTTCTCGCGGCCGACGCAAGGGGAGGGGTGGTAGGTAGTGGGGGAAAGCTGTCCAGAGCAAGGTTAAGGCTAGAATTTTCATTCACCGTATCGCTTTCGAGAAGTGTTGGTACAAATACTTTGGGAGGAACATTGGAATTAACAATAATCTCATTAGTTGATTCTGTGATTCCTACTGCCGCAGGGAGAGGTAGGGTATTAGATAATTAGGAATTACATTGATTTGGACAGTTTTTTGCAATTTGGCCCTTATTTTTACATAAAAAACAAATAGGAACATCAGGAGTTACATATATCCAGTGGGGGACATCATCAATAAATACTTGAAATGATTCAGGTAATTTATGTTCATCATCATCGACGAAACTTTACATTTTGTAACGCAAACATGAAACATGCACATCTCACAAACTAGGTAACATCAATCAATTATTGAAAAACGAACGTGTTCCCTAATGCATGTAGTTTCGGAAAATAACTACATTTGTCATATACGGATGAGAAATGGGACCACTAGGAACATTATATTGAGAGACTTGTATTTTTGAATATTCTTAGCTCTGAAGATAATAGTCAAATTCAATAGTCTTTATCTTTTAAAAGTATAGAGCTACTGCGACGAAATTTGCACACAATATTGTAAGAACTCTATTCCTTAATTTGAGTCTTAAATCAAGTTTCTCTTTTAATAAGAACCTGCTTGAAATTTCAATTTTCTACAGTGCTATTTAGAAGAAATTGACGTTCATTGCGAAACTTTTGCGTTTTTCTTATAAACTAAGCTTCTAATCAAAAAATGGGTTTCACTAGTGTATTCGCCATAAAATTTCATGCTAGGACCCTGGTTTTCAGAAAACTCCTTATCATGTAGAAAATCGGACAATTTCGTCGATTGATGAAACTTTAATTTTTTTTTTTTTCACAAAAAAGAAAACATACATTTAATTCTAGAAACTCGGACGAGTTTCTTAATTCTTGTAGTTTCGGAAAATGACATAATTTGTCTTATACGGATGAGAAATGTGGTCACTAGGAACATTATATTGAGAGACTACTGGTTTTTAGTATTCCTAGCTCTGAAAATAATAGTCAAATTCAAAAGGATATATCTCCAAAACTATTCGAGCTAAAGCGCTGATATTTACACACGAGGTAGTGCTAATGTTGTTTGCTAATCGAGGATGTATGCTAATCTTTAATTTGAGTCTTAAATGATGTTTTTTCTTTAATTATTACCTGCTTGAAAATGCAATACTTGTAACTGCGATTTTCAAAATTCATTTTTTAACTCAAGAAAGAATCTAGCAAATTGCGCAAACTATGTCACAAAATCAATACTAGAAACTCCGACGTGTTTTAAAATTCATGTACTCGTATATAATGCATTGTCATTGTTTGTCAATTGCAGATGAGATATGTGCCCTCTAAGAACTTTGAATTGAAACCCCTCTATTTCGAATTCTTAACGCCCTAAAAATAATAGTCAAATTCAAAACTCTCCTAAACTATTCGAACTAAAGCGCTGAAATTTACACACTAGATAGAAGGTACTCTGCTCTTTAATTTTCGTCTTAAATGACGTTTCTCTTTTAAATATGACTCGCTTGAAAATGCAATATTTGTAACTGCGATTTTGAACCTTTATTTTTTATCTTCGAAAGAAACTCGCATATTTCGCAAATTATGCAACAATAATCAATTTTTTAAACTTTGACGTGTTTCAAAAATCATGTATTTTATGAAAACGTCATTGTTTGTCCCATGCCGATGATAAATGTGCCCTCTAAGATCCTTGAATTGAAACCCCTGTATTTCGAACTTAACACTCTCAAAATAAGTCAAATTCAAAAGGCTCTATCTCATAAACTATTCGAGCTACAGCGCTGGAATTTACACACGAGATAGTATATACTCTACTTTTTAATTTTAGTTTTAAATGATGTTTTTCTTTTAATTATAACCTGTTTGAAAGTGCAATATTTGTAACTGCGATTTTGAACGTTCAGTTTTTAACTCAAGAAAGAAACTCGCATATTTCGCAAACTATGCAACAAAAATCAATTCAAGAAACTCTGACGTGTTTCAAAATCCATGTATTTAATGTAAATGACATCGTTTGTCACATGCGGATGAGATATGGGCCCTATAAGAACCTTGAAATGAAACCCCTGTACTTCGAATTCTTAACGCTCCAAAAATAATAGTCAAATTCAAAAGGCCTCCTAAACTATTCGAGCTAAAGCGCTGAAATTTACACACGAGATAGTATGTACTGTACTCTTTAATTTGAGTCTTAAATGATGTTGCCCTTTTAATAATAACTTGCTTGAAAATGCAATATTTGTAACTGTGATTTTGAACCATCATTTTTTAACTCAAAAAATAAACTTGCATTTTCCCCCACAGCATTATAATGTACTATTATTTACTACTATGCGGTTTTAAGCGGCAGGAAATGTCATTTCTGACAGAAGTGCGAGAAAATAATGTTTCAGAGGGAGTTATCTTTTTTTTATTTTACACTTCTTGTTCCTTGTCAATAGTGTATTGTTTTTCTGAGGTGAGATCGTGGACAACTTGTATTTCAAGTTTATTTTCACTAAAAGTTCACTTTCAATGGATTTTAGCACACATTTGTTGTTGTTTTTTTTTTGTCAGTCTAAATGTTAGCACATTACTATGAGGAATGGACAAGCAAAGTTAGGGGCTACATGTTTGCTAAAGAAATAAACCCATTTTTGATGCATGGGTTATTTTTTGATTCAATAGCATTCCTTTAAACTACTTGCCTTCATTGTACAATTCGTCAGCAATTTTCTTCTATAATTGCTGACGTCATTTTCAATGTCTATGATGACATCAATGATTAATAAACCTTTCAAATTCAAGAAAACATTTGTTTTAAAAGGGTATTTGAACATTTTTTTAACTAGGCAACACTCCTCTAAAATACAAGCTTCTCTTGTACAAAATATGAACATTATCTATTACAAGCTGGTACCGTGTCCGTTGCTGCCGTAGAAGAAATAATTGTGGAAATGTGAAAATAATAAATTTATATAAATAATATCTATAAAATAACAGTACAATATACCTCTATCTGAATGTTAAATTATATTTACACTTGGATAAAATATCAGCCACATCAATGAAACGAATGGTTTCTTTAGCATAGGAATATTTTATATTTAAAGATTTAGTTTTGCCTTCACATTATTTTTAATCATTAAATTAACATTGTTGTCTGTGCTATTAACTCTCTTATATACATAGGTACTTATGGAGTAATAAAGATAATATAGAGAGTGAAGAGAAAGTTACGTAATGCTGCAGAAAATCGATTAGGAGTTTTCATCAAAAACTCGCGTTTTGGGATACCGAGAAGGGTGTTTGGTTTGCTCTTTTTTTTTTTCTTCTTCTTCTTTCTTCGTCAGTCTGTTTGACCGGCGATTAGTGAACCTATCACCTATATTAATCGTACGATTTTTTGCAAATTGAAGAAACCCTGGTACATCTGGTTTGAGTTGAAGCTTTGAGATTTAGAAAATCCTTCTTCAAAATTTGGGGGAGCTTTACATGAAGCCCCGTGAACATTATCAAAAACGGCTCAAATTTTTTTCTTCGTTTTTAATGATTGAATTATTTTCAATTTGCTTTCCTTTCCACTACAATTTTCTGTTTCTTGCTATTAATATGTTAAGTTTTGTTGCTTTTTCTTTTTTTTTTGACAGTTTGTCGTAATCAATTTTCTCTATGTTGTCTTAATTTCTTTCAGTATTTGCATCCAAAACAATTTCACTTTGGATGCATTTAATACACAAGACACTTGAAAATTGATATCATACATGTTATATTTGAATGTCGCAAACATCACAACACATTTGACATGCTGAAATTGACAACACCAGCCATCATATCTACATTAAGTAATAACAGAAACAGGGCAGATCTGGGCTGCAGATTTTGCTGGAGCTGCAAGAGGTCACAGTTATGACTTCTAAGTTTGTTGCAGAACATGGTGGTGTGCAGTACAACCTTTGCCTTGGTGCCAAGCTTGATGGGTCTTTATCATAAGGTATCACATAACAAATGAAGGCAGAGGAAAATTCTTTATGAAGAATGAAAGAGTGTTTAATCTTCCTCCAGAATCAAGTCAAAAGTACTGTTTTCTAAACTTGTCTTACAAATGAGAAAGCTTGAGATGGTGAGGAAGATTGAAAATTAAGGACTTCCTTTTACAAAACAATTTACAGCAAAGTTTATTGCAAATATTCTGTTCCTTTGGAATTTGAGAAAGTGAATTGTTCCTTGGTATGTAAAAAACTATAAAGCTGAAAACAATTTTAATGACATAACAGGTACAGATTCACAACAATTCCTACACTTACTTTATTTTCAAAATGTCACATGTGTGTTTCATAGAATTTATGAAATAATACTCTGATTTGCAATCTTTAATGTGCCTGGGCTTGTGGTTTTCTTCCTTTAAAGAGCATTGATTTTAGTCTAATGAGCAGTCCATTGCAAGAATTGCCATCCTTCATGCACAGTCTGAAAAAACAGTTTACATGCTCTTTAACCGATTTAATTTAATACATAATTATGAATTCTACTTTAAATCAGATTCATGCTGAATATATGGCAAACATAAGACATTGTACCTTTAATCTAATATGTACTTACAACTTCTCCACTGTTGCAGCTAACTCACCTAGATACATATTTATAATCAAAATGTTGACTAAATAATTTAATAAATTCCCATACCTTTTAGTGGTGATGTTGTGGAGAGGTCCAAATGCCAATGCAACTACTGTGCAAGCCAAGCAAATAACATTATATGGCATACTAAAGTCTGGAGTAGGAAGAGTTATTATGAGAGATTCTGTTCTTAACTGCAGTAAGAATCCTTCTCTGGATGCGTTGAAACTGTGAAGAAATAAAATTTAAGATATTAACCCTTTTACTGCTCTGGATGTGTTGACGCAGAAAATTTCCTTGCCTCAGAGCCTCTAGACATACTTATTGCGTGCCCTTTTTAATTGTATTAATTGAAAGATGAGAGATTCTTCTATGCTCTGTACAGTTTGATACAGTACGATAGAGTTTGAATCGATTTCACCGTCTAGTTTTCGCGTAACGAGACCGTAAAGTTTGTTGTTTTAACACGGGCTTTTATGGTCACCTGACAAAGCTGACCTGAAATATTAAAATTGTGAGAAAATTAACTGTTGAACGTGGTTTTAAAAACTCTTCTTTAGGTAGCTTGCATCTCGAAGAATTAATATGCGCAATTTGAAGGTCATCTTCCGCTTCAAAAGGCACAATTTTGCAAAGTTATAAGCCTAAATCAGTCCAAAGGAAGACATTCGCGCGCTTTCTAGAGGGTAGAGACGGGACTGACGCGCAACTTGGCAACACCGCGCGCTTCATTCATATCGAGTGACAAATCCTTTGCAAGAGTTCGTACATTCCTCTGGATCTTCTGGGAGCAATTAAAACATCCTCACTCCTGGAGAATATTGCATTTGATAGTAACCAGATATTCAGAAAAGCTGGAATTTGATAGATATAATGATCAGTGCGAACTGAATGAAAAACTTAATTCAATTAATATTCCTAATGAATTACTTTGATACTACTCCCTATGAGAAAATGAGTGGACTTGAGAGTTGATCACGTTGACTGCCATGAGGGTCAGATACGGTACTCAATTCTTTAGGCTTCAGAGTGTCTGAGGACCAATATTGATCCACAATAGTCTTGTTTTTCAGGCCATGAGGTTCCGATTTGTCCCTCATTTAACACTGAATTCAAATACGTTCTGAATAAGGAAGACGCTCAGGATCAAATTACGATCGAAACATTGTTGTAGCATAATATAAAGTACCATTTTTTTATTTGTACTTTAAATATTAACCTTAAGATTTTTTTACTATACCTTAAACATTTTACGTACAATGTAAAATCAAAGTATAAATTATTGTAATTTTAAATATGATTTGATATCGGAAATACAGAAAGTCTAGTTCATATAGTACACTATCTCACCGAGTCATTGTCTTCATCTTCTTAAAAAGACTAACACTTGTTCCTTTCCAAGAATTATGAGTCTTTCCATCTTCCCCTCGGTCTTTCATCCCTAGTAATCCTCACGATTCTTTTCTCCTCCATTCTTTCAATATGATCGTTCCATTCCTTTCTTCGGTCTGCTACCCATTACGTAATGGGCTTAACTTCGCACTCTTCTCTGATGTTTTTGTTGCTTTCCTTATCCAGTAGAATTTTAACAACCTCAACTAAAGTTATTGTCGGGTTCGTATCGTTTCGCTTGTTTCTGCTGCATATGTTAGTATTGGTGTAATTATTGATTGATATATTCCAACCTTCGAGTCCTGTTTTAGATGCTTATTATACCATATTGAGTAGAGGAGGCAGCTATCGATCCTATTACCCTTTATTATTTCCTCTTTTATTTCTTTCTCCGTTAGTCCTGAGCTTGTTAAAGTTATTCCCAAATACTTCATCTTTAGAACTTATTCTATTATTTGATTATCCACTACCAATTTACACCCAATCGGATTCTTAGCAATTGACATAGCTTTCGTCTTCTGGGTAGATATTAGTAAATTAAAATTCTTACAAAGTTTTCTGAACTCTTATAGCAATTGTTGTAAGGCATCTTCAGATTTTAAGGTTTAAGGGTTTTATAAGGTTAGAGGGCATCTTTTCTTGTTTCAGTATTCTTATAACATCAACTAGTTTTATGTAGTCAAATGCTTCGGTCCGCAAAGCATAGGAAAGCTGGTTTGTTAAATTGTAGAGCTTTTTCCATGATTTGTCGGATGATAGAAATTGCGTCAGTGCACGATCTACCGTGTCTAAAACCCTGTTGTTCTTCCCATTCTATCATATTCACGAGGGTGTTTGCTACACATTTAGTGAGGAATTTCAATGAGTTGTTTAGGATAGTCAATCAGCTGTTAGCAGAGTCATTGTAATTACATGAATTTTATTTCAAGTAGCAATGAGTTGTTTAGGATAGTCAATCAGCTGTTAGCAGAGTCATTGTAATTACATGAATTTCATTTCAAGTAGCAATGGACGAGGAGGAGAATCTATTTGCTCAACAAAAGCGATGAAGAGAGGTTTTCGGACGGGATTGAGGATTTCTATTCATTAAGTATTGAGTATAGTGAGTATTCCAATGACAATGCTAATACTGATGATGAAATCATGTCGGACTTACCTATGCATGATGCACACTGTGTGCTTTATTTCTCGTCTGATGAATCTGCTTACTGTAGCAGTGTAACGAATAGGAACATACACCGTTCAAATACTTTGAATCGGGTATTACGACTTTTTTACATTATTTTTTCATAACGAAGTGCACGATGTTTTAGTTCTTCTTATCTTCAAGTATTTAGGCATAATGCCTGTTACGCCGCTTAATTTTGGTCCCTCCAGCGCACTTCTTGAGTCCTACATTCCTTTTTCCTCTCGGCTGATATTTGCCCATTTTTTTAGGAATTTCTGTCGTTCATTCGCACAATGTGTATCTTGCCATGAGAGTCTGTAGTTGGTGACTTTCTCTACAAAACTTTCATCATTTAGCTCGTTTCGGATTTGTGTGTTTCTTTGTCTGTCCAAAAGGCTATATCCCGCTACGTCTGAGAAATCTCTCTCCTGTGGGG